TTCATTTGTTTCTTTGAAGATTTATGACTAATACAGATTTTTGTTTTGTACTGAGAGTTGCTAGACTGATAGAAAATTAATGGTAAGTTTTCTGGATTGGCTCTAGGGATTGTGGATGTGCCTGTAATCTGACTAGATTTAAAGATGCTGTTATAGATTAAGAACTGGTGATCAACATAACACCAGCTGGATTATATCAGCATGACACTGAGTGAAGATGCTACACCTGAGGAACGTTGCCAGCATAAATAGGTGGAGAAGGAGAAGGAGGACTTTGAGGCATTGAGGCATTGTTGCATTGTGGGTTCTCCTATGACTAGGGCTGTTTGAGCCGTTGATTCTCCTGGAGAAGCTCTGGTCCTCACATCCAGCATTGATTCCTGCCTCCGGAGGGAAGATGTGTGCCGCTTGGTCTCCAGCATGAACTCGTCATGCCGGCTTCCTGGAAGGTACCCGACTGTGCTTGTCGTCAGAGGAGCTTGGAGCCTCCATGTTACTGAACATGGCTGTGGTGCCTCTCAGGACAGCTTTGCTTTGAGTCTTTGTTTTGAGTGTGACTTCTCAGCTCCAGTGTAGAACCCTCATCCCACCAGCACAGCTCCTTCACCCCACTGGCATGGGCTTTCTGGTTTCCACCACTGACCTTTGGGCCTTCTCGACACGGATCGGTGAGTTCTTCTCATGGGCTTTGGACCTCCAGTGGGACTCATGAGAGGCACTGTCATGAGCTCTGAGTCTTTGTCTGGACTCATGTGGGACATTGCTGTGGGATTTAGGCCTTTGATTAAATATTCTATGTCTTTGGTGTTGCGGATAGCTTTACTACATTTTCTTTTGTTAACTCCCGGTGACCATTATAAAAATAATATTATAAACGCCATGTTCTGATTCTCCTTGTTCTCCATACAACCTCTGACTACAACAGATTCCAATGCCTCTATTTTCTGCATTAGGAAGAGAATTGGTAGCAAGACCGTGAGCCATGTGTAGAGAAAGCCCAGACATCTGCCTTGGATGTTGTAATCAGCAGTCTTTGAGAGCAAGGGGCTGAGTGACTCTCTATACGATGATTTTGAACTTGTTGGAAAATTAAAGACCGACTCTGTGGTTTTCTTCTAATCTCAGTGGACACAAGTGTGAAAGCAAGAAAGAATCCCAGAGATTTTAAATCTCAGCCTGAGTACGGCACAAATAGTCTAAGAGTTTCTCAGATTGCCCTGAAAGAGAACAGCATCTGTTATCTTATTATCTCTCTGGAGATCCCTGAGACCCCCTCTGCAATGAGTGGTTTGGGTATTTTGTGTTGTGTTCTGGGAATTATCAGTATATTCTAGATAATAGCTTTCTATAGCATCTGTGGCTTACAAATATTTCTCAGTCTCTGTCTCACAGTCCTCTCATGGCTTTCACAGAGCAATGGGTTTGTTTTTTATTGTTGGCTAAATTATAAATTATTTACTTCTCCATTTATGCATTAAACTTCAGATGTTAAGTCAAAGAACTCTTGTCCAGCCCTAGTTTCCACTATATTTTTTCTAAAATTGTTGTAATTTTGTATTTTACACCGACTTTGTGATCTACATTGTGTTCATTTTTTATAAAAGGAATGAATTTAATTCAAGGTGGAGGGGTTTTTTATGTTTCTAGCCATAAAATTGCTCATTTGCTTAAAAAGTCTATCTGTAGTCACATATATTTGCTTTTCAATTTTCACCAAATTAACTCCCCATCTGTCTGCATAAGCTGCAGTGGGGTTCCCACTGGGGCAAGTCTGTTCCTCTACCATGTCATAGGTCGCAGGGGAGTGTAGAGGTTACACAATGCATCTAAAATGAGGCTACAGTGGTTCCCCTTGCTTTATTTTTTCATTGTCCAAATTCTTTTCAGTGTTCTAGAGTCAGTGCCTTTCCACAAAATGCTTAGAACAATTATATATGAAGATTTTTCACTGGGAATTGACAGTAATCAAATTTATCTTACAGGTTAATGCATGAAGAAGTGACATCTTTCCTATGCTGTGTGCTCCAGTCCGTGAACTTATGTCTCTTAGTTGATTTAAGTTTTTTAATCCCCCTAATGAATATTCCCTGACAGGTGAAACACAAGTCCTATGTCTGTGGTGTCTGTGATTTAAATATTTTGTTTTGTTTGATGCAATTGTAAATGCCAACATGCTGCTAATTTCTATATCCTTGTGTTTGTTCTTGATACATAGAAATGAAATTGATTGAATGTACTGATCCTTTGTCCTGTAGTTTTTCTGAACACATATTAATTTTAGAAAGATTTATTGGATTGTTTTGTAGACTTACTCAGGTTGAATACATAAATAACATAGGTTTCTGCAACTACAATTTTTTTTTCTTTTCTATTCATTCTGTTTTTTCTTGCTTTCTTGCCGTGGCCAGAACTTCCAAGCCTATGCTGAGTAACAGCAGCAAAGCAGAACTCCTTGTTCGGCTCCCGTTTTAGAAATAAAGAATCCAGTGTCACAGGTGTGAGCTACATTGCTGCATTCGGGCATACATTTTACTAATTTGCAGAAGTTCCCTTCTCATTTCTGCGGATTTATTGAAAATCACTGTTGAAATTGTCAAATGCTTCTTTTCCTATTTCAATCAATATAGTCATGATTTTCATTAGTCTGTTGATATGATAGCTTATGATTTTTCATAATATAAGCCCGGAATAATGCAATTTTCTCATTTTGTGTAATTCTTTCCTGGCTAGAATCAATTTGCTAATGCATCCTGAGGCCGTTTTTGTCTAAGTTTATGGGAAATGTTTTTCTGTGGTTTCAATTTTGGTTCTGTGCCCGGTTCCAGTATTAGACTAGAATAAAACTAACTTTATAAAAAAAATTATCTTCCATCTTCTGCTTTTTTAAAAAAGAAACTGTGGTAAGTAGATATTAAATGTTTTTCAGATTTTTTCATCAAGCTATCAATACACCAAAAATTTCCATTTGGGAGCAAATGACTAACAACTCAATTAGGTAATAGTTCCCAGACTGAAGAAATTGTATCTTATGTTGTCCTGGAGTTTTGGTAATGTATGTATAGGTTTTAAGGAATTAGTCAATAAAGTGACTCATAATATCACTCTATTATTCTTTAAAAGGGTGTATCGATATCTCTACTTCCTGAACATAATAATTTCTGTCTTTTTTTTTTTAACAGCCTTGATAGAAGTTTATTAAAAAGATTGTATTTTACAAAAGATGTATTTTTTCTGTCTTTACAAACAGTGTTTTGGTGCCTCAGTTTTCTTTATTATTTGCTTTCTATTACTTAAGTATTTACTGATGTTATTGTTCTCAATTTGGTCTGTGTGGATTTGTTTTTCAGCACTTTTCATAATTTCTTGAGGCAGGAAACTTGACGACAGCTTGGGCCTGTTCTTCTCTTTTTGTGGAAGTTTTTGGTAATATAAATTCTCCTTTCAATGATGCTTTTTCTACATCAAACACATTTCAATATGTAGAACGTTTATCTTATTCTTTTCTTCCTTTTTTAAAATTCATTTAAAATGGCCCTTTCAACTGTGTAATATGTCAATATATTCAACAACCAAGTATTTTTTCCTATTTCTTCTCTTTTATTATTAATTTCTAGTTTGACATCATAATGGTGAAGAAATATTCTTTGTGAACTTTCAGTTTTTCAAAATTCATTGAGCTATATTTTATTACCCGCGATTACAGTTTATGTTAGTGAGTTACATATAATTTTAAAATATGTGTGTCCTCCTGTGACCTGGTGATGGACTTAGTAGTAGACCTGTTCATTGGTTGTCAGATTCGTTTTTATATTCCCTCAAACTTTCTGAAATTCATTATTTTTAAAAGGACTCATAGTGGAATGCAGATATCCCCAGTGACACTTATAAATTTGTACGCTTCTTCTTTTAAAACCTCTGTGAGGTTTGACTTCGTTATATTTTGAGGCTCTGTAGTTTATTGCAAAGATATTTTAAACCATTATACCATTTTGCTGGGTTCATCATTTTGGAATTATCTGATATCTCTGTCTACAGCAATTATTTTTATCTATATTAATATCACTGTGCCTGTGAATTCATAAAATATCTAGCCATTGTTTTATTAAGCTTTTCTGTATATCTTTATGCTTTCAACTTTATGGTATTGTGCTTTGAGTTTCTTATAGACAGCAGACAGTTTGTTTTTAAATTCACTCTTCCCGTGTCTGTCATTTAAAGTATCTCTTACTCCATCTACCTTCAAGGGAATTCTTAATATATGATGCCTTGCTTTTTTCCCAAGTTATCATTATAAACGAATGAGCACATTTATTGTTTTTTCCTAATATTTTTCTTCTTTACAGTGGGCTTGAATATAGTTTAGGGTCACAAACACATATCTGAGTAATCTTTTTAAATATATTACCTTTTATAGCTATTTTTTCCCTCCCTTTCTTTCTGCTTTTCTTTCCTTTGGTTGGTTTGTTTTAGATATGGTCTTGCTGAATAGTTCAGGCTGGCCATGAACTCACTAAGTTGCCCAAGGTGACCTTGAACTTGCAGTGCTCCCCAATATCAACCCACCAAGCACTGGGATTACACTATAGCTGGCTGCTTCGGGAATCTTACTATAGTTGTGTATTTATCACTTATCACAACCCGCCTGTACCTCATATAACTGCTTCACACATAAAATGTAGAAATGACACTTCCTTTTATCCTCCGAATTTTAAAAGCAACATGAGAGTCATCCAGAGAGAGCTGGGGTAAGTGGTTCCTGGTTCGGAGGGTCAGAATGGACCTCTCAGTTCTTGGAACCCGAGAGTCCAGTCCTTTCTTCACTTTGTTAGGGTGACTGGTAAAATGGCCCTGGCTCCCACACACCTCTGGGGGTGGAAGTTAATGATGTCACAGAAGCAGTAAGGTTCTGAGAAAGTAACAAGCCCAAAGCTCCTAACTCCAGCACCAGCTCCTCTTAGTTATGCTGTTGTTACCTGGACACAACACTCAACCCTCACAACTGAAAAGCAGAGAGATTTATTTTGGCTGATGGTTTTATTCTACAGTTTGCTGGCTCTCACCAGAACTGGCCTGGTGGAAGTGGCCTACGCAGGAAAGGCACTGCTCGCCTCATGGTGGGCAGGAAGAAGCAGAAAGAGGAGTCAGAGACACCCTTTTAGGTCGGGTCCCTGGACCAGACCCGGCTTCCAAACAGTGCATTCCGATCTAACCAGCATAGCAGCTCTTTGATCCAATCATCGTCCAAAAGTCCAACTTCGAACAGGCTGGGCTTTGCGGTGCATCCAGACCCAAACCATAGCCCAGCCCAGAGAGCAGGTTCTCCTAGGGACAAGATGGAATTCTCCATAGAATTAAAAACAGTTTTTGTTGCTATTTGCTTCTTGTCTTCTTAATGTCAGAGCTACACGTTTCTAGGAATTAAAAGGTTTAATTTACCTTGAGAATAAGCCCATGAGAATCAAGAGACATAAAGAGCAGAACATGTTGTAGAAATGCAGGCAGATCAACCAAGCCTGGGGGTCTTGGGCAGCTCCCACCTCACTGGGTGCCAATGAAGGACAAGTTATGTATCAGAGACATCAGGCAGCCTTTGCAAAATTTCCCAACAGTGTTCACAGGAATAATCAATGTATCTGTTCCCCGTTGGCTTACTTCACCTCAAGATACTTCTATGTGTGATTTTTCAACACAAACATGTAGGCTTTATGAACATTTGGGAAACTGTCCTCCTGAAGAGTCAAAACGATTCATATAAGTGGGGTTTTTTTTTAGGAATCATAGTCACAACTGTTACTGACAATAGCATCTTTGGACTTCCCCAAAGTCTGAACTTCTGGAGACATCAGGTGGCTGAGGGTCTTGTTTGGGATTTTCCTCTTGTGCACGGCTAAATTAGGGCAATTTTGGTCTCATCTTCCTCATTCTCCCATACATGGATTCCCACAGCAGCTCCTGTCTCGGAAGTCCTTAGAATGCTGAGCAAATCTTTAGTACGTTAATTTATTTTCTGAGACAGGGCCTTGCTGTGCAGTTCAGGCTGACCTTGAGCTCACTATTTTAGACAGACTGGCCTCAAACACATGGTGCTCTTCCTGCCTCAGCCTCCCAAGTGCTGGGATTAGAGGTGTGCACCACCATGCCTGGCAAGGTTGTCAATTTTTGAAGTTTATTTCCTGTTGAAACTTAAAAGTCCCCTTTCCACTACCATATGTCAAAGCAATGGCCCTCTCCAATGGTACACTTGCTGTCTCTGAAAATAAGAATTCTCTTCTCCCTTCTCAGTCTGCACTCTGTGTGACAGCCTGCCACAGGGGAACCTGGCTTGGGATTGGTCTACATTCTAGAAATGAGCGGAAAATTGTTGCACTGTTGTCTTACAGATGGTTCCCCTTCAGTTTTTATATAGAGCCTGCTGACAAATAAGATTGTGAAATTCGGGAAGCTAATGAATCATTTTCAAGGCATGGTCAATGGGTTTCCTTCCTTAAGGTCGATGAAGAAAAGTCACCAAACTTGAAGTTTGGTCTAAATGATGCAAATTGTCTGCAGAATAATGTAATTAAATTTCCAAAGAGCTGAGCCTACATACTGAGAAATGGATGCAACAAGAGTTGAGGAGCACTGGGCTCTTCCTGTCAAAGAAGCGTCTTTAAGTCAGCAGAAGTCTCACAGAAGCCTTCAGAAAGAAACCTGGATCCAAAAGACAGATGGAGGAAGAATCCAGTCTGCCCAGGCTCCCCTGAAATTGACTCTACATGTGAACAGAATGTCTACCTGGATATAAATAAACAGATGCAAAGATGTGTGGTTCTTCTAAAGGTCTGGGTTGGGGAGATATTGAAGACATGAGTTTAAATCACAAACTACCATTCTTGTTTAGAGAAATTTAATTATCAAGAATTTATAATGCTATTCAGGGTGATATTTATAACAAACCTAGGAACTCAGTTATTGACCTACAGTAGCCAATAAGCCCTCAAAAGTCTTTAAATTGTCTCATAATAATAGGTGAAGAAAACCTTTTTCTTCTGGATTAATGAATCTGATTCTACTGAGAACTGACTCAGAACAGAACACCAAGAAAAGTTGCGTCACACAGTAGAATGCATTTGAAGTACAAGGAAACCACATGGAATCACATCTAAAGCAAGACTCACTGGGCTGAGGGTGCATCTCCAGGAGACATCGACTGAATGAGAGACACTGCCACATAGATGGACCATGACGGCACCTTCCTGCACAGCTTCATGCTAACTGGGCTTCAGGGCTCCTCTGGGTAGAGACTATCACACTATGAAGAAGTAGTTTCCCCCTCTCTGTCACTCCTGGTGCTCCTTAGGGTAGCTTGTGGAACATTATTTCTGAAAAGAATCTCATCTGAACATTATTTCTGATGAGATCCACGAGAAAAGCAATTTTATCTGGGGCTTTATGTACCAAATGAGGAGCTGTCCGTATCTTGTTTGTTCAGACAAATTCTCTCCTGGTGTTTTGAGTGAATTAAGAGTCTATCAGTGTGGCAGTATCTAATTCTCTGGGATTAATCATGGCCCATATGGTGTAGGTTGCTCTTAAAGCACTGTACAAATTTCTGTGTTCTCTGTATATTCTGAATTGAAACACTGATATGATAGAATGAACTTTAAGGCTTGCTGTTTCACTGAAATATCGCGGGGTTTCACTCATGTGTGACTTAAATCTGTATTCACAGAGAAATTTAGGGTTCCTTTACTCTTGGTTAACAACCTGTGAAAGAGAAGGTGCCTCAGTGAACCTTTATAGCATCGCTGTGCAGATAAATGGTTGAACCCCACAGGGGAGGTCAAACAGGTATTGATTTTCTTGATCTAATGCAACACCTAAGAAAGCAGAACAAAGACCTAACCTACAGCATAAAATATACAACATTAGGTAATGCTGGTTAAAATAGACTTTTACCATAGAATGTGTTTCATTTCACAGAGATCTCTATATTGTGTTTAATCTGAGCATGAATATAGAGGAAACCAGATGTTTCGGTTAGCTGTAAAGAGAATAGACACATGGAGAGTACTCAAGGTGTCAGATACATTAGTGCCAATACGCTTATCTCAGAAATCCCATCACACAGCAAAGCCTGAATATTTTTGCCAGTCTTTCCAGTCTGAGATGCAGCCCTCAACACTTGAAACTTAGAGGAGCCATTTACTGGTTCATGTTTCAGTCCTGGCTCTGTGGCAGGAAGGCATGCAGAGGGGTATGGCGGAAGGGAGATGCTTATGGCATGGTGGGCAGGAAGGAGAGAGCAAAGGAGGAGCCAGGGAGAGGAACATAGCCTCCTGGGACACAACTCCCTCCGGTGACCAGTGCTTCTGCCCAAACCTCATCTCCTAACAGCAAGGCAGGTACAAGCTCCATGATCAGTCACCTTCCAAAGGTCCTATAACCGTGGGAGGCTTTAGGGTGCCTCCTCACAAGTACAGACAGCAGGCCTGGAGTCACAGAAGGAAAGGTTTTCAGCGAGCGCTTCATGGTGGAATCATGAGGCCGAAGGAGAGTGACAGAGGCAGGATTCATGGCAGATGGAACAGATCACACAACTTTCACAGTAGTTCAATATATATTTGGTCTTCCTCTTTGTTTCTTGGCATGAAACTAAAATCCTTGGAACTTTTAAAGTCTCAAGGATCTTTTTGTTTGCAGATCAGGTGATTAGTTATTTCCAGTCTGTCAGTAACTCCTGGATAGGAGTGACCACCAGAAAGCTGAGGGCAGGATTAAAAGTTGGGACTTTGAGCCCAATTCCCAACTCCAGAGAAAGTCAGGAAGCCACATTCATCACCAATGGCCATTGGCTTAGTCCATCTTTTTCTGCCTGATATGGCCTCCACCAGAACCCCAAAGGACAGTCTTTGGGGATATCTTCCAGAGGCCTTTGTGAGTGAAGGTTCCTGGGGTACCCAGAGTGGGCATGAAAGCTTGGGGTCCTTTTGCATACTGTGCCCTCTACATGTCTTCAGTGGGATCCTTTGTGACATCACAATGATGTAGTAGGGCCACACTAGAACACTGACCTTCATGGGAACATGGTGACCTCTGTCAGCAGCCTATCGGGCAGAAGCACAGGTACTAATCACCTGGGTACTGTGGAGGACACCTACAGTGTAGACAAGGCCTTGGAACCCTGGCCTCACCTGTGGGCCCTGAAGGGATCTACAGATAGATATTTTACAACTTAGTGTAGCTAGAAGGCAGCAAGCTTACGTACCCTGTGGGTTCAGTGCTTGCATTCTGATGAGGTGACATCCCGGAAACTGTGGTTACAGAAGTCTTCCCTGTTGGTTATTGTTGTGAGAGTGTAGGAGAAATTGAATTTGAATTTCTCTTCACTCCTGCATCCCCCTGTCAGTAGGAGCTTTGTAGCTGATTGTGATGTATGTTTCTGTAATCCCAGCTCTCTGGAAGGCTGAGGCATGACATTTCCAACTTCGACCTCAATCTTAATAAACTAGCAACTAAGTGGGACCCCAATGCTAGGGATGTCGTTCAGGGCAAAGAGTCTGGGTTCAATAACCAATAGTGAGGAGAAAAGACAAGAAAAAAAAAGTATTTCTAAGGCTTTCTCTTAAGATTTACAGAAATTTCTTCTGGTGACATAAAGATAAAATAACTTGGATATAAATTCCTCCTCACAGGATAATAGACTCAGTCTCATCCATCTCATTAAAACTTTTAGGTAGTGTGGGACCACAGTTGTTTTAATGTTGTTTATTGATAATATCATTTATTGTTGCTTTGTGGCTGTCTTCTCAAGGTTTCCCTGCTCCCGTGTAGAATGACCAGGGGGAACATCTACCTGTCATATCTCTAAGTCCATTAGTAAGTGGCTCTGCAATTTCTTTTGCTGGTGTTTCATTTATTTTGTTTTTGGCTTTTGTCCTAAAACTCTATGAACATCTTTGGTGAAAAGATTGGCAGGAGGCTCTGTTAAAACTCCCCCCCTTGTTTATGTACCTCTTACTCCATGCCTGGCTGCAGGTCATTTACAAAAAGTGAGGAAAGAGTTGAGATCACATTGGTTTCAGGATCTAATCTTGAGACATCTCACTTAACAACTACCAAGGATGAGGATTAGTGCCCAAGCTATTTGTATAGGAAGACTTTGGAAGTAGTCTCTAAAATATGCACTGTTTGTAGCTTTTCTGAATCTCCGTTACTCTGAATTTCTCTCCCGTTTATCAGTATTTGTACTTTTTGGTACTTTCCTTTTCCCCCAGATTCTAGATTCCTATTAATGTCTAAAATCATCCATACAGATCAGATAGCATGGGTTATATGTTGCCAGGGCCCTCTCCAGGTCATTGCTAAATATTTGTTTATCTCATTAGGTTGTTGAAATTAGCCTTGCCTTAAGCTTTCAGCTCAGACAGAGATGGAGCAGGACAGCTCCTGAAAGCCTTGTCTGCGATAAAGGGAATTAATATTCAATGCTGTTGATCTGCAGGTTTCCTGGCTTAGCTCAGGGGAAGCTTGTGTCACAGAGAGGGGAGAAGGAGAGGAAAATTGCACAGAACTCAGGACAAAGAACACTCTGCTACTAATTTCAAACTGTGCTGTTGTAAAAGAGATATCATTTCAAATATCTTACATTTTTATTTATGTTGATTAATATTTTAAAGAACCTATTTGAGCATCTTCCACTTGGGAGTTTATTTTTCCAATTAAAATGTAGAGCAGTGAGCGGAATTCTATTTCCATTTTGGACTAAAGAGTTTCTTATCTGAACAGTTTTATTCTTATTAACTACCACTGTGATATCAAGTTTTTCCTTGGTGAATCTGAACTCCTTAGAGAGTCATCTGTATTCAAACTATAATGAAAATCCACATAGGAGCGATGGCTGTAGCCAGAATAAGTTGTGAGGTTCCGTTTAGGCTGGGAAACCTCATATTACCACGGTAACAGGCCGAGGAAAATGTTGTCTATGGATCATGTTTCAAATGTCAATCTATTATGTGTCCTCACTCAACATGGGGTCAAACATCTGTGATTCCTGACAAACAGAGGCTGATGCAGGTCTGACCCAAGCCTAGGTAAGTGCTTGCAGGATACCAGAGAGACACTCCTTGTGTGCTCTGTGTCATTGACCCTAGGCAAAGCCTGCCTAAAAAATGACCCCGGGGAGGAAACTTTGGCTCACCTCAGGCTCTGTAAGTTCAGTTCCAGGAATGGATGTGTAAGAGTTTTTATCAAATTCTTCCCCCACAACATCATCCAACAGACCCACTGCAAATGGCCACCACCGATGTTAGTGATGCTGCCAAGGAGGGCGGGTGTATCTCAGAGCTTGGTTCTGTGTGCTCAGGACAGGATGGGAGGCCACTCTGCAGGCATAGCCCAGTCACAGAGCCAGCTCCACATGCCCTGGTAAGAAGTCAGGCTCTCATACCAGAGGATTGGCCAGAAGCTAGAATGATTTAACAAGTTATTTGCTCTGGGATCCGTGATGCCTCAGAAAACTGCTTCTCCAAAAGAAAAACAAGTTCCTGAATTAAAAGAGAAAGTAAGTGGATGGATTACATAATAGAACTGATAAAGTTAAATAGACTGCATTTCCCCCAGCATGGAGAAGGAAAAGATGGATACGTGTGTGAATGAAGATTCAGGAAGTCAATGAGCTACAGAAGAATACAGTAAGTGAAGTAGGAGAGGGCCAATCACCCGGTGCGATAGGATGGTGCAGAACACAGCACCCCACACAGGCAGGAGGGAGAATAACCTAGGCCAGACACAGGATTGCAGCTGGTACACCTCCAAATGCCATGAAGAGTTCCAAGGGGCATAACGTGCTAAGGACAAGGTGTGAGCAAGAGTTGTCATGAGCATTTAAATTAAAAATGTAGCACAGCAAGAAAGGCACTTTCATAACTGCCCTCAAAATACTTCTGATCCCTTGGAGCACACTTGTCTTGTCCCCCATCCTCGCCACTTCCTGCAGCAACTCCGGAGTCCACTTTCCTGGGGGTCTTTAGCTCCCCTGTCCGGGCTGCCTCAGTGTCCTGACTGGATTCAAAATGTGTCCTTCTCACGGTCATTTTGACCTTAAGGAAGAGCCAGAAGTCACATGGGGCCAGGCCAAGAGATAAGGGAAGTGGGGACATGGCATAATCATGATTTTAGGCAGCAGCATTCACCATGGTTTTCACTTTGTGAAGACATGCAAAGCAAGGGAAAATCATGCCAATCGACTCCTTCAAATTTCTGATTAAAATGGTTTTTGATATATTAAATAATAATTAAATATGACCTAAACAGACATATGTATATGACTTAGAATGCAGATTTTTAGTGTTATTATTTATGTGATATTTTATATTTGCCTCTACATGCATGTACATGTATTTGTGTGAAATTCTACCAAAATCGAAAGCTTTATTTGCATATGATACCCAGACAAATCTAAAGCTGTTTGGACTTACTTCTATATTAATAGGACTTGAGAACATTCTTAAGGTTATTATCTCTCTGTTTAATCACAAGGCTGGTTCTGCAATGATCTTTACTACTGATACAATGAAAATATTATGCAGATTGCTTTATTAACTTAAAAAAGTTTATTCATGCTGTAAGAACTCTGTTATTGTTAAAGAAGAATCATATTAAAATCTAAATAATATCGGGAAGTCAGATGACTTATAAAGATTAGAGCAGAAGAGAAATAATCTCACAACATTATCTTTTGGTTCTGTAGTAACTTGAAGTAGGAAGGAAGAAGTAAAGACAGGTAGAAGGCAGACGAGGAAACTCCGCTCTTCACCTCTGTCAGTGCCCCCTACCTCTGGGTGAGATTCCAGCTCAGTCCTGCAGCAGACCTGGCACTCACTGAGGAGTGTCTATATTACAAGGTTTAGTAGCCCTAAATTTATCCAGTGCAGCTCATCTATCCTCAAAACCCAAGCTAAGAGTAACCAAGTTTTCAGGCACACTCGGGTGCCAGCTTCTACAATGGACAGTTTTGGAAAGTCCACTCCCGAGTAACACCCAGAAGTCACCAAAGCTGCACCCTCACAGACCGCCCCACTCTAGGTCAGACCTCCCACACTGAGCAGGAAAATCATCTCCCAATGGGGCCCAAGGCAGACCGCTTCCAACCAAGGATGAGTGCATAATGGGAACTTAGTGCCCCCCAAGCCATGCAGACTTCTCCGGAGCCATGGAAACCAATGCTGAAGTAACAGTTGGATGGATCCTGCCCACATCAGTTCATCCATAAAAGCTCGTCCCTGTTTTTGTGGAGTGGCTGGATTGTACCCCTAGGTCAGAGCAGGTCTCTTCTAGCTGGAATCTTTGCCCTACTACCCCATACTTTTTAAGTCTGTCTACTAACCTTCCTATGGCTCATACTGGCACTTACTTATATTCCTAGTGTGAATCTAGAATCTCCTCAGAGGAAGGGCATGGTGACACATGTCTCCAGTACCAGTGCTCTGGGAGGCTGAGACAGGAGGATCAAAAGTTCCAGCCCAGCATGTGTTGCTTAGCAACTTAGCAAGAGCCTGTCTTAAAACAAAGTTTTGTTTTGTTTTTTTAAAGACCTGGGTTGTAACTCAGTGTGAAAGCCTTGTGTTCAATCTTTAGCATGCACACACACACACACACACACACACACACACACACACACACACAAATACACAGAGGTATTTTTATAAGCCAGAAAATATTTTAAACCCTGATTTTAAAAAAGCTCCTTCAAAAACAGAATCACATTAGAGCAGCATCCTAATCTGTATAGAATTAGGTGCTGTGGGGGTGTTTTTTGGGTTACCCACAAACCTGAACCTTCAGTGGCCCCAGACCTCTTGCTGGTGAATCTAGGTATGCAAAAGGGTCAACATGGACTGACTTAATTCCCTGAAGGAGGAAAGTTGTGCTTAGCTTGTCCACTTCCTAATCCCGTAACTCACCTGTACAGCCCAAGTGGTAGCCAGCATCATCCTATCCTTTGCAATTTAGATGGGATTGGTGATCCGGCCTGCAGACCAATCCATGGGTCTCACCTGGAGAGGGGATCGGGGATGGGGGCAGGGCAAGAGAAAAGAGAGAGGGAGACAGGATGCGATTCCAATCGAGTCTCGTTTATTTTTAAAATGGCTACCACTTATAAAGGGTGGGGGGCGTGCCAAGGGCAGGAAGAGGGCACAGAATGTTATCTGATAGGTCATCATCACATCCGGATATATGACGTAAGCAGGAGAGGATTATGGGTAATGTAGGCAGACATGAGGATCATGGGAAATATAGGCTGACACACAAAATGCCCTCAGGCAGGAGGGGCAGGGCAGCAGCAGCTATTGGAAGCTGCTCCCTACAGATTGGTTCCATTATCGGCTCTTCTGGGGCGTGAATGTTTCATGGTCATTTCATACTCTCCTCTGTTCCCTTTTCAAATGAACCCATAATCTTACTCTTGATGGATTCATCTGGCCTAGGATTCTTTTCACTTATTCTGCAGAGAATCTTAGCTCTTTACTTTGTAGTTGTATTGTGCCTGCCTTTTGTATATCAAAAGACTCTTTAAAGGCTTTGCTAAGACAAAGGACCATAGTCTCTGGTCTTCGCTTTTGAATAACAAAGAAGGAATAGCCTTAACTTTGAACTGTAAAACTTTACAGTTTTTCTTTACTCTCAAGTCTGTAAGTGGAAACATCTTTTTGTTCAGGGAAGTTTCAAATGTGTAGAATTATGTCACCTGCCACCACCGTGAAATCTTAGGAAACAAAAGAAGCAACAGATTTTCCTTTAAAATCAATATTTTTGGTCCATTATATTGAAGTCTGATTAATGCATGAGAATGCTTATTAGTTAGCATGGCATGCAAATGCAACAAGCTTTACATTCAAATTAACAGAAGAACACAGAACTCAAAATAATACATGCTCTGGTTCATGTGATAAGCTGTTTTGCAACCAGAATGGGAAGCTGTAAGGACATTTAAGGGAGTGCGGATTTTAAAGGAAAAAAGATCTGGACAAACCAGTTTGATCCAATGAGGAAATTTCATTCTTGGATGGGAAGGAGCCAGGGTGTGGTGTTACATAAGTGATCAGCAAATATTTACGTACAAGGATTAGAGGGATTTCACACTGCACTGCTTCCTGGCTCAGTGTTCGGTGTGCAAGTCAGGGTTGCTCAGTGTGAGTCTCCATTATGGGTTTGGCATGCCCAGCAGGAGGGCATGGGAGCCTCACCAGAGGAGGCCTCAGGCCCCAGGGGCTCTGCAGTGCTCCTGGGAGTGGAAGGGAGCCCTCTGGAGCATACAGGAAGGGCCAGGAAGGAAATAGACTTCTGCAGGGCTGGGCCTGGTGCCTGAGAATGTGAACTTTGATACCTTTCACCCTTTGCAAATATCTGAATCCATTACGTAATTACCTGGCAAGCAGAAAACCAACAGAAACACCAAGATGTCTGGAGGTCTCATCTGATGGACGATTCCCCTGTGGACTCACAGTCTCTGTCTTAAGCTGGCCATACAGTCCATTTCGTGCAGCTCCTATTTTTCTCATGTTCAGCACATTTCCTGTAAAATAACTTTTTACTTCTTTGCAGTAAACCTGCCATGATTGTCTGCAGATGCTTGATGTTTTCCACAGTCTTCTGGATACTCAGTCAGTGCCTTGTGGGTGTGTGTCTCCCAAATTCCTAATCCTCAAATTCCGAGTAACACTTTTCATTTTCATAGTTTGTGAGCTTCAACTTACCAATAACGTCACTGCTTTGATTGTAAATTTCAAATTGCCTTTTCTCTTGCTATAAAGCAGGCCACATAATTTGAAACTTGTAAGCATGCTGCTTCCAGCTTTTTGCTTTTTTCTCAAGATTGATTTGCATAATCATAACTGTCTGAGGCTCAATGAGAAGATTCAGTGGGACCCTGCTCAACTTCACATTCAGTAAACATATTAATTAGAAATATTGCCCAGGATAAAAATAGGCAAAGTTAGAAGAACAAGAACAAGGGTTAATATTGAGAATGCATTCAGTTCCTTGAAGAGAATTGGTAAAGCCAATTTCAGGGTCTTGCTTGTAAAGTGTGTGAGCTCATCACGAGGGCACTCTGCTGGGAGAGGGGTTGATTCTTTGTGTTTCCAACCATGTGGAGACAGGGCAGGCAGTGTGGCCCCTAATCTGAGATCCGGGATTCTCAGTCCTGCTGCTGTTCACAGTGTCCTGAAAATCAGCGGCAAGCGTGGAACCCTCAGAAAAGGGACACGGATGTTCTAAGGAGGTAAAGGAGACAAAACAAACTCCTGGGAGATGGTAAAAGATTAGTATTCTTGGAGAACCAAATTTAGGAGTGATGAGTTGTCAAGGTGATTTCTGACAATCCCCCATCAAGAGTAATACCGTAACACTTCACGGAGGTGAAAATGTGGGTAACCTCACTCTGTATTGAGGTTCTGTATGAGTGTGGGATGGTGTCAAAGAGATGGTAATCAGAAGGGCATTCTGAGTCTTCTTTCTTGTACTGCGTGGAACCTCATTTGACTATGAAGGTACAAGCCAGCTGGTGTCTCATACCTGAAATAAAGAAGAACAAAGCAAGATGCTGGTTGAATTTAGTCAATCATGGCTTTATCCTTGTTAAGTGGAATTGCAAAGCACCAAATGCAAAGAAGTCCTTACCTTTCAGCACATAAATGATGCCCAAGCTCCAAAAATACCTATCAGAAATTTGAGGAGTTTCTTTTCTGGCAGAAATTAAAACATTACCGTTTTCACTCAGTTAAGTAGTGTAAGTTTTGAAGTAATTTTTTTAAAGAGTCCATTTTTAAATCTAAAGTATACATGTTTTTATTAAAGATTTAATATAGTAATTCAAGATAATGTTGTTGTTAGTATTTAAGATGAAAAATGACAGGAATGTCAGAAAGAAATATTTCATAAACCTGTCAGAAACATCCTCTTTACCATGAACAGTGACTTATCACTAATTGATTTGAAATATTGAGACATCAAGCATATGTCAAGTGGTCTTACATATCAACAATTTGCATGCCATCTGTTCCTACACATTGTTGAGGAATTTGGAGTTGATGTGTGTCTTGGATGAGCAGTGAATTGAAGGGAGATTTTCTCGGCATAAAAAACGGAACAGGTCTGGAGGTCTAACTGGTGACAAGTGGAAACATTTGGTCAGAAATTCACTGAGAGAAGTGGATTCATTTTCAGCTCGGTGTGACGTCTCTCGGTGCCGTGCTGCAGTCTGTAGAGGGCCGAGGAGTGTGTCCATGTCTCTCGTTAGTCCTGCAGCCTGTGTCGATGACACTGATGTGAAAATCCACTAGCAGAGTTCATTACTAAGTACAAAGTGCGAGTGAAAAGAACCCAGTTGTGTTGTCTCCTTGTGAAATTCACTTCGCCTCTCTGGGACTGTAGCTTTATTTTAAATAGCCAATTTTAGGATTTTTATTCATGCATTTTGAACAAAAATAATCAACTCAAGTAAAACTTGAGTTTGGATCCCACTGTGTGGTAGCTGAGTGATTTTGAATTGTTTGCTCAGCCTGCCCAGAAAAGCAAATTCACCTGTAAATTGAAACCCGCAGTTTATGAAACTAAATTCCAAGTTTAGAAATTTATAGTCATTCTACAGAGATGGGAGGCATTTTCCCTTCTGTGAGTTTATTTTTTCCAAGAGTGAAGGCTGTATGCATCCAGGTCCAGCCAGGAAAGCAGAAATGGCTTCATAACATTTTCAGTGTAGGGTATTTGACACAGGGCACAAGGAAATGGATTTTCAAAGGCTAAATTAGCAATAAATAGGCCACAGCTGGTGCCTGAATTTAAGGCCTCCCCATTTTGTAGTAACAGATACTCAGGGTCAAGAAATAAAACAAAACAGGTACAGGAAACTGCTGCTGCTGCCACTGCCTTCTTCCCAGGACGTGTAAAATAGGAGGGGCTCATTGATTTTACTTACTTTAAAAGGTTTCTCTTTCTGTGATGCTTGTGAGTGCGTGTGTGGAGCTGGGGATGCCGCCCTGGGCTGTGGGCATGCTAGGCAAGCACTCACTCTGTCACCGAGCTTGGTGCTGGGCCTGGTGGCCCAGCTGTACCCGCATCCATGTCTACTGCAATCCCTCCCTTCCAACATTTGTGTTTAGATATTAAATAAACATTTAAAATGACTCCAGTGTAGGGGAGGGCAATCCTGAAAACCGTGTCAGTACAAGTGGGGATAGAAATGATCTCTGGGGTTTCCATCACACTAGCACAGAAATACAGGCCAGTCTTCCCGGATTCCCCCAGCCAATTTTGCAGTATTTACCAATGAAAGAGGATGGGCATCTTCCTGAGTTACATTTAAAGGAGGACCAAGGGAGGATAGAGAACGGCTCTGGAGGCTGGCAGGCTCTGCAGAGCTGCTATGCACACCAGGCCCTCTTCCTAAAGGACTCTTGGGAGAGGAGAAGGTGAAGCAAGCCCTAATTCAACACAGAAGGCTGCCCTGAGGTTAGCGGGCCCCTGCAGGTGGACCTCCAGACCCAGACCGCAACTCTGTGAACTTCCTTCTACCTGGTCTGAGACACACGAGCTGTATGTGACCCTGCAAGGGGCTTTTCACACAGCACCCTGAGAACTGTTCCTTGACAAGCAGGGATCGCATGGCAGCCGGGGACTGAGCTGAGTCCAAGGCCGGGGATGGAGTTTCCTCCATGCCCTCAGGAGGTGCATGGCATGCCCTCCCTGGCACTGATCTCCTGCAGATAGCACCAGGCTGGTGAACTGCAGTCACCAGGAGAGGAAGGCGCCCAGACTTGGGTACCTATAAGTTTTTCTGTGACAAGGTGGAGATGTGAGAGCCGAGGCCGAGAGGAAGACAGACGCTGGGTTTACCTGGGCAGACTGCGCAGGCCTCTGCAGGGATCCCAGGAATGGCTGGAAATGACCCCGTCCTAGAAGACATTCTTCCAAGATGGGAAGCAGAGTCAACCAGCCAGGCTAACCACACCTTGCAACACCCAGCAAGGGCGCATGGGGGAGGCCACTCACAGGGGTGTGGTATGTTCCTACCCACTCACTGTGTCTCCTGCCCTACTCCCAGGCACGAGCAGCATGGG